GGGGGGGGAGGGGGGAGGGAGGAAGCCTACGTAAAAACCAGGCTCCAACTGCCAGTCATTTGTGTTTGGATCCATGGAAAGGTGGGTGGGATGGGAGAAATTTCTGGATGGAGGGGGTTAGCCATGGATGGATGAATCGACTTTCTTCCGCCATTTCTTTCGCCACGAGTGAAAGGCTCGGTGGGAGCCCTAAGATTCTGGCACTTTGGTATTGGGCAATTAGGGAGTCACTACTTACCGGGGAAGTGGATATATATCACCTAATTGAGATATCATTATACTATGTAGTACTCATAGGCCAGGCGGGGTGTTGACGAGGGGCACATTCTGGCTCAAGTACATGTAATTAGCAACGTACTCGTACAAAAACCCGAATATTAATAGCTTATGGGAGAGGGGAGGGCAGTGCAGGAGAGTGTGGTTGCGTGGCCCTTCAGGCTTCCTTTGGCTGGTTCTGGTCGAGGGCGGAGAAGCGACCGATGAATGGCCGGGCAGCAATTAAGGTGCCTCCGCATTCGAATTCAAGGTTCGTTCAAATCTGCTATCGCCAGTTTGAGCCTTTGAGGAAATTAATTAATTAATATTCATTTCGTCTTTTCCCTCTCTTTTCCCTTCCTTCCTTTCTTCCTTCTCTCCTTCCATCCTTCTTCTGTCTGACCTTTCAAACCTCACCGCTTAGCAGGCAAGGCGCCTGCCTACAAACAACATTGTGGATTGAACTGCTTTTCCTCCTTCTTCTCCCTCTCCTCTCCTCGCCCTTGTGAGCATTTCCCTCACCTGCGTGCAGTCTTATCGGTAGATTATCAGCCAGTGGCGGCGGCTCTTCTATTTTCGGCCAGAGTGACCGCTTTCAACTTAATTCATTTCCAGGGCCCCTTTTTTCTGCCTTTCACTTTTTCGTCACTTACCCACATTGGGACATCATACCTGTTTCCACCCCCAGTGCCTGTCCCTCGCCGCCTGCGGAAACCCTGAACGGTTTACAGACTGACCACGCCGTTTCCTACTCATTCCTCTGGTTTTCCTTCCAGACCAATTCCTTCTTCTAAACTGTTTATTATCATCAACATCGCCTTTGGTTTATACATCCCCCGCCCGTGTCATCTACGAGCTTTCACCGGGATTGATTCACAGTGATACTCCACCCCCACAGTCGTTTCTGCTTCGTTTCATCCGTCGCATTCGCCTTCCCCCCCACCATTCACAGCCAAATCTTCTGTCGCCGAACCATCAATCTTACGGCCGACCTTATATATACCCACAACACCCGAGGTCGCTTGCACTGTATATACCACATTAATCTTCAGGTCTTCCATATCGGTGGTTTCATATGACGTCTCCCGCCTACGACGTTGATCATCTGAATATCTAAGTCGCTGGATCTAGGCCAAAGCATGAGTCCAGCTGTTGACTACCTTGTGTTTCCCGATACGCGCAGTACAACCGAGTTGTCCCACAATAGCATCTGACTGCTCTGTGTCCAATTTTGAAATCAGGTGGTAGCAGTTTGGCAGGAGAGAGATCATTGGACAAGCGGGATTGCTGGTCATCGCATTTCCCGGCCATTCGCCATGCCCGACAATCATGAATCACCAGAGTCAAAACACATTCCACGGGAAGCGACATCTGCAGAGCAGCCAACGATAACAAATCAAGGGCGTTCGCCAACAGACAGTCCCACCCCCGCCTCGCAGCTCCCCAGAAGCCAATCCCTGCAGATACCCTCCACCCGAACAAATGTAACTCCCAGCCGCTCCTCGATTTCGCCGTCCCGCGCCGTCTCCGATGCAGGTCGGCGACCATCGCAGCAACATCATGTTCGATTCTCGACTGATCTAGAACGCCCTGCGGTGGACGAGGCCCAAGGGTCCAATTGGGATCGTCGACCAGCCTCAAGGGGATTGACCATTGACACGAACCTCGCGGACAATTCAAGCGCCACTTCGCCATTGTCTCCGCGCTCTGCATTGTCCCCTCCGTCCCCGCAGAGTCCTGAATCTGGGGGTCGGTCAAGGTCCCGCCACCGTGGATACTCCTTGCGACGAACAATTTTCGCCAAGAATATCGAGTCGCAGTCGGCCGTTACTTCTCCCGACGCGATCGAGTTAGGTACCGCTTTGCCCGTGAGCCCTCAGCAGGTCGAGGCTTCAGCAGATGGTCTTGCTCGGACAGCAACGGCGAACGAAAGCGGGCAGGCGCTGGCAGATGAGAAACAGGAGGTGCTGGTCATGCAAAGATCGGCCTCAGATGCCAACTTGGACTTATCCACAACCTATTACTCGGAGCCTTCGGAGAACCTGAAAGATGGCAGACACCTTTCCACGACCTTCTCATACGACCGGTGGCTGAAGCGCAAAGCCGTGATTGCCACGCTCAAGCTTCGTATCGAGACGATGGCCGAGACAGTTCGCAAATCTATACTCCGCATCAAGGAGATCCCCCCAAGCAAAGACGGGCGCCATATCGATCTCAATCCTGCCCGCACAGAAACGTTGGTGGATGAGAGAACCGGAAAGCCGTATTTGGGGAACTCCATCCGTTCCAGCCGATACAGTTTCTGGAGCTTCTTTCCCCGCCAACTGTTCGCCCAATTCACCAAGCTTGCGAATTTCTATTTCCTGATAGTCGCCATCCTGCAAATGATCCCTGGGCTGAGTACCACTGGTACCTACACCACGATTGTTCCGCTACTTATCTTCGTCGGTATCTCTATGGGTAAAGAAGGGTTTGATGACTGGCGCCGTTATCGCCTGGACAAGGAAGAGAACAATCGGAATGCCCTTGTCTTGCGTCCAAATGCTGGAATTTCCCATCCGGCTTCTGCCAACGACAACGTCTCCGTGACCAGCGACGTGCAAGATTGGACGTCAATCAAATGGAAGGATATTCAAGTGGGCGATGTGATCAAATTGGAGCGCGACCAGCCTGTGCCGGCGGATATGGTTCTGCTCCATGCGGACGGGCCGAATGGCGTTGCTTATATCGAAACCATGGCTCTCGATGGCGAGACGAACTTGAAGAACAAGCAGCCTTTGCAGCCGGTAGCAAAGATATGTGGTTCTGTGGAGGGTATCTGCAGCACCGCTCTATATTTCGCGGTCGAGGATCCCAACCTCGACCTCTATAAGTTCGATGGCAATGTCACGGTCGCCGCGGACGAGAAATTGCCACTAACCAACACTGAAGTTCTCTATCGCGGTAGCATCATGCGCAACACGGAAAGGGCGATCGGCATGGTCATCTACACAGGAGAGGAGTGCAAAATTCGCATGAACGCGAACAAGAACCCTCGGATCAAGTCTCCATCGCTCCAGGCAAAAGTCAATCGGGTGGTCATGTTGATCGTGACGCTCGTTGTAGTTCTGGCTGTAGCGTGCACAATCGCTTACAAGTATTGGTCCGACGACGTTGAATCGAAATCATGGTACCTTTATAAAGCGAGCGTGGACATCGGACCTATCTTCACCTCCTTCCTCATTATGTTCAACACGATGATCCCTATCTCATTATACGTGAGTATGGAAATCGTCAAAGTTGCTCAAATGCTTCTTTTGAATACCGACATCGACATGTATGATCCGGAAACAGACACCCCAGTTGAAGCACGCACATCGACCATCAACGAAGAGCTGGGTCAAGTCAGTTACATTTTCTCTGATAAGACAGGCACATTGACGAACAACTCGATGCGCTTTCGCAAGATGAGTGTTGCTGGCACCGCGTGGTATCATGACCTTGACCTTCTTCAAGAAGCAGCAAAGGACGGTGATCATACCAAACTGATCCACAAAAAGCGCAGTGCCAAAGGAAAGAAGGCACTCAGTCGCAAGTCCAATGTTTCCGAGGCTAGGAGACATCCACCAAGATCCTCTATGTCAACAGCAACCGGGCTGCAGGGACTTGGTATCTCTATGCGCAATCATCGGACCACAGACATGCTTCGATATATCCAGCGTAAGCCCTATACAGTCTTTGCGCGGAAGGCTAAGATGTTTATACTGGCCATGGCATTGTGCCATACATGTATCCCGGAGGATGACGACGAAGGTAACGTTTCCTTCCAAGCGGCTTCTCCTGATGAGCTAGCGCTGGTCATGGCTGCACAGGAGCTTGGATATCTTGTTCGTGACCGGCAACCGAAAACCTTAACAATCCGCACCTACCCCAACGGCCTCGACGGGCCCGCATGTGACGAGGTCTATGAGATCATGGATATCATCGAATTCTCCAGCGCCCGAAAACGCATGTCGGTTGTGGTTCGAATGCCTGACCAACGCATCTGCTTGTTTTGCAAGGGAGCCGATAGCCATGTCATGCGCTTGCTCAAGCGTGCCGCCCTCGCGCAAGAGAAAGCAGTGGAGATTGAGAGGCGCGCCAGCAAGCGTAAGGCCGCCGAGGCTGATCAGGTTATACGGCGCAACAGCGAATATCATAGCCGCAAGGATAGCGGTCTCCGGACCAGCTTCAGCCGGCCAAGCATGTCGAGACGACGGTCAAGCGTGACTGGAGAACCTGTTTCGGCGCTGCGGGAGAGTATTGATGTTTGGCTCCGCGATCGGGAAACTGACGGTGGTCTCCTGACGCGTGGCAACGACCCTGAGTACTACAGCCCCCGACCATCTGCCCAGTTGGGACGAGCATCTAGTACGTTATCGGATTCGGGAAGCTCTGTGCATGATAACGAGGAAGAAGACTTGGTTGAGGAAGCTCTTGTTGTGAACGAGACCGCTGTCTTCGAAAGATGTTTCCAGCATCTCAACGACTTCGCTACCGAAGGACTTCGGACGCTTCTGTACGGTCACCGGTTTCTTGATGAAGATACGTACACGAGCTGGAAAAAGGCTTATCTTGAAGCCTGTACCAGCCTTGTTGACCGTCAGGAGAAGATCGAGATGGTTGGCGAACAGATAGAGGATCAACTTGAGCTTACAGGTGCTACAGCCATCGAAGATAAGCTTCAGAAGGGCGTTCCCGGGGCTATCGACAAACTGCGTCGAGCCAACATCAAGTTGTGGATGCTTACTGGTGATAAGCGTGAGACGGCGATCAATGTTGGACACTCATGTCGCCTTGTGAAAGACTATTCTTCTTTGGTGATCCTGGATCACGAGACAGGGGAGGTCGAGCGTTCGATTGTCAAATTCACCGCCGACATCACCAAAGGCACCGTGGCTCACTCGGTGGTGGTCGTGGATGGGCAGACCCTCTCGATGATTGAAGCCGACAAGACTCTGGAAGCGCAATTCTTCCGACTGGCCATCATCGTCGATTCAGTGATCTGTTGCCGTGCCAGCCCTAAGCAAAAAGCATTCTTGGTCAAGTCGATTCGGAAGCAAGTCAAAGACAGCGTGACGCTGGCCATCGGCGACGGTGCCAACGACATCGCCATGATCCAGGAAGCCCATGTTGGCATTGGCATCACTGGCAAGGAAGGGCTCCAAGCCGCTCGTATATCCGACTATTCGATTGCGCAGTTCCGGTTCCTCCTCAAGCTCCTCCTTGTCCACGGCCGTTGGAACTATATCCGCGTGTGCAAGTACACCCTGGGCACTTTCTGGAAGGAAATGCTTTTCTATCTCACACAAGCCCTCTACCAGCGCTGGAACGGCTATACAGGTACTAGTCTTTACGAGTCCTGGAGTCTGAGCATGTTCAATACTCTCTTCACGTCACTTGCAGTCATCTTCTTGGGCATTTTTACTAAGGATCTCTCCGCCTCCACCCTCCTCGCCGTGCCAGAACTCTACACCAAAGGTCAACGCCACGGAGGGTTCAACATTCGATTATATATCGGCTGGACTTTCATGGCTACCTGTGAAGCCATGATCATCTACTTCCTTATGTTCAGTCTCTTCGAGAAAGTCATGTTTACCCATACTGGAAGCGACATCTTCTCCGCCGGTCTCCTCACCTTTACCGCCTGCGTCATTGTGATCAATACGAAACTTCAAGCGCTTGAAGTACACAACAAAACCTACATGTCTCTGGCGGTCTGGATCATTTCCGTCGGCGGTTGGTTCTTGTGGAACCTGATCCTTGACGTGCGCTATAACCCCTCCTCCGGCGACGGCATCTACCATGTTCTCGGAAATTTCGTCAACGTTTCGGGACACGACCTAGCTTTCTGGGCCGTGTTGCTCGTGACGGTCGTGAGCGTGGTGGCCTTTGAAATGACCGTCTCCGCCCTGCGGGCCTTGTTCTTCCCTACAGACGTCGACGTCTTCCAGGAATACGAGCAGGACCTGGACATCCGTATGCGGTTCGAAGAAGCCGCGGCCTCGGAACTCCAACAGGGCTGGGACCACGGCAAGAAGAAATCCAGCTTCGAACTGGCACGGGAGGAGGAGGAGATGGAAGCCAAGGAGCGACAAGTCCGGGAGTTGCTGGCTCGGCCGCGAGTCATGGTCTCACCCGCCGCGAAGACCGATGATGGTCCGGTCGCGACAGAGATGGAGTTGAAAGAAGGCTACCAGCAGCATCCCCACGAGAGTGATGATGATGGACCAGAAGACGAAGAGATCGAGAACGCAGGCGGGGGCACCAAGACCCCGCGCCGCTCGGTCGAGATCCACGAATTATTCTCCGAAGGCTACGGCGCAATCCGGAAGGGCCAGTTGAAGTAGACGAAGAACCTCACCCCCACAACCTGAAGACAAAAAGAAAAGAAAATCAAACGCAGAAGAAGCCAGTACGGACAATATGCCCCCCCAATTTCATGATTTTCTGCTTTTTACAAGCGTGTGTCACATCATCATCATCATGGCGTTTTGCAAGAAATGGATACCCCCACACCTTACTTAGTTAGCCTTCGCTTGTTGTTTCAATCCACTCACTACCTTATTCCTGGTCTGTTTTTGGTTTGCTTGCTTGATGCCGTTTTCTCTGTGTATACATTCTCTCGCTCCGTCGTGGCTTACCCATATACCACCACGCCATTTGTGAAGCATTAGTGATTCTGCATGGGGAGGCTGCTTCCGGTGTTTGATAGATATAGAGAGACTATCTTGTGAATGAAAGCAGACCAGTGGAGTAAACATAGGTCTTCCCTCTTCCTGTCACCGTGCCTGGTATTCTTCACCAGTTACACGACATGTGTACGAATGGTATTAGTGCAGTGCACAGCCGGTTTCACACATTCAGGGAACTTGTACTGTGATATTTCTGATTCCTGTAAAATGTTTGCAGCCACAGCTGAGTGCTGCATATATGGATGGACTTAGGTAAGACATGAGCAAATCAATTAATCCTGAAACCATGTAAAAAGAAGACGGCAAACGGAAAAGAGAAAGGAGTCGCTTGACGCAATTATTAACACACAGGCAGGCAGTGGTATCTCATAGTAGGTAAAACAGCAGTCACTCAGGTAGGTAGGTAGTCGGCATACTCAATCTGGGAAAAACCCGTGGCTTTCCTTTCTCACCGCTCAGCGCGGGCGCAGCGTGAGGAGGAGCCAGATCTGCAGGCTCGGAAGTATACGGTATAGTGAACGGGTCAGAAGGGGAGAGCTGATTCGCAAGGCTAGAATCGTGGTGGTGCAGTGTCCATAGTGGTGGACGTGGGGGTTGCGAGTCAAGGTCGGGGGGCTTCCAGAACAGTGGGGACTCGCAATCCCGTTTCGATGTACTTCAAAGGCCGGCCTCTTCCCTTCAAGTAGATTGATAGCGAGCAAAAGGACCCGTTCAGAGTTCCTCTCTTCTTGATCGTAAACCCCACATCATCCTTGAAGCTCGTACATCTGCGTCCCCTCTGGAACCGGCTGCTTCTTCGCCGGGGCAGGTAATTCGTACAGTGGCGATCCCGCCACTTCACTCGTCTCCTGCGTGGGGATTGGGGTCGCCCTCTGCCTCTTCTTTCGCCGACGGAGGAAGAAGAATGCGAGGGCCCCGATCACGGCGGCGGCACCGACACCCACGCCGACGCCGACGCCGATGCCGACGCTACTGGAGCTGGAGCTGGAGCTGTGGGAGGAAGCGGGCGAAGAAGTGGTCGAGGACGAGCCAGAGGTTGCGGCACCGGTGGACTGCGCTGAGCCAGTCGAGGTCGCAGTGGTGGATGCCGTGGTCGTCGTCGCGGCGCCCTTTTCGCGCACGTAGAAGTAATCACTCCAGCTGATCCAGCCGTATAGGTCGATTCCGTAGGTACCTAACTTGGCGGTGGCGTTGAATAGTCCGATCTGGTATTGGGGATTGGTAGTGTTGAAATCGCTGGGGATGGCCCAGGTGTATTGTTCCAAGGTGCAGTTGGCGGTCTCGTTGACGACGAGTTGGTACAGAGAGCTGGTTGTGGTGAACTTCGCACCCACTAGTTATACGTCCAAAGATGAGGTCAGCCCGTGGATTGTAGGCAAGAAGACCCCCAGATCAAGACAAGAACTAACCCGTGATTTCATCGATGAGAGTGCCTCCGGCGCGGCCCAGAGAGATGTTGAGTGGAGTATCTCCATTGTCGATCGCGCCCCATCGGAGCTGAAGGATGTCACCCGGGTTGACCTCCTTATTCTCGAGCCCATAGAACGTCCCAGGGACGCAGTCCGTATACCCTTGGGTCGACATGGTTAGAGAATGGAGCAGGAGAGGCTCACAGGGAAGCCTTCTCGGGGGAAGATCAGGGTTGGGACACTAGAGAACATGGCCTGGGGTTCATGGTCCAAACGGCAGGAACAGACTTCTTTACTTAGGGCCGCAGACCCATCACCAGGAAGTGCCCGTCAATAGCGGTCTTATAATATAGGGCCGTCTCCGGCCGTAACAGCCTTCAACTACGGTCGCTAGCTCGTACGCAGTGCTGTGGCATTGCAACCGACCGCAAATCAGAGCCTCGTATACCTCCCCAGTTGGCGATCCTTCATCTAAGTCGAGAATCCTTTCGCTCGGACACCAGCAGCCTTGGTGTGGCAATTGGGTGATCGGACTGCATTGTGGACGGGAAAACGTGTAGGCAGAAGTGAGTGCGTGCGCAGAGTCTATCGGGATGGATGGTTTCAGCCTGAGCAGGGACCCTGCAGAGAAAGAGAGGAATTCGACAATTCGACATACTCCGGAGTACTGTTGTACTGTGTACTGTATTCAGTCAACCAACATTCGTTTCGTCACTTCAGGGGAGGCTCCGCCTCTGCGGGTGGGACCAGGGATTTGGGGGCCAAATAATGGTTCTGATGGTTCTGATGGTTCTGGGTTGTCCCAACTTCCCAAGATCCCGGCGCGTCTCGAGGCCGCCCTGGGCTCAACTCCCTAAGTACTTAGTAGTCCGAGAGTCTCCATATTAACAGTCACTTCCCACCAATGGTCGACCACCCCGCCAAGCAGGATGTATGCCTTGGGCTGGGGCTGTTATATGGACAGATGATTATCGCTCCACGCTGTCTGATCTTCCTTCCCTCTTTTGTTTCCGTTTTGCGTCGAGGGCCATGCCGTTATACACCCTCCTCGATCGCCCGACCGACCAACTCAACCCCTCCCCCCCCTGCCCCCTCCTGAAGAAAGCAATGAGTGCTATAACCTCAAGAGAACCCTAAAAATGCCGGCGTCTCGAATGCAACTGCGGCGGCAGAATACACTAATTGCTTTGGGCCTCGTGGCCCTCTGCGTTTGGTTCTTCACCTCGCATCGATCGCGAAGCGGCGAACTGATTCACAGCCATGAGCAATTCTGGAGAGATTTCCACCCGCTTCTTGTGGATAATGCGCCAGACTGTCAGTCCCCAACACGCCTGGGAAATGCTGAATCTGCCGGCTTCGATCCACAAAGCACCGAACCGCTGCCTGACTTATTGAGGATGCCAGCCGAGGATATTGCGAAGATGAAACAAGCACACACGGCCTTCGCAAATGCGATCGAAAGAGCCCCTCCAAAACTCAATTACCAGCCACACACGCGTGGACTGGTTTCAACAGCCGGCGGCCCTTATCTTCCAGTCTTGGTGATTTCGCTGCGCATGCTGCGACGTACGGGCTCAACTCTGCCGATGGAGGTATTCCTCGCCGACTGGGAGGAATATGATGGCTATCTTTGCCAGGTTGTCCTTCCCTCGCTGAACGCGCAGTGCGTGGTTCTGTCGGAGATCCTGGAAGCGGTGCCCGACAGCACGAACAAGATCGAGAAATACCAGTACAAGATCTTCGCAATGCTTTTCTCCTCCTTCGAAGAGATCCTCTTCCTCGATGCAGATGCTTTTCCCCTGCAGAAGCCAGAGGAGTTGTTCACCGCCGACCCGTTCAAGTCCAAAGGCCTGGTCACCTGGCCCGATTTCTGGCGTCCAACAACATCCCCTTTGTACTATAAGATATCATCGCCCAAAGAGAGTGGAACGCAACCGGCCAACCCGACCGCTCTCCGGCAGTCGACGGAGTCCGGGGAAGTACTCGTGTCCAAGCGCACTCACCTTCGCACCCTTCTCCTCGCTGCATACTACAATTTTTATGGACCCAGCCATTATTACCCGCTTCTCTCGCAGGGCGCAGCCGGCGAAGGGGACAAAGAAACGTTCCTTGCCGCCGCCAACGCCCTCGACGAACCTTTCTACCAGGTCAGCGAACCCATCCGGGCCGTTGGGCGCCGGACGCCCGACGGTTTCGCCGGGTCCACCATGGTTCAGTACAGTCCGATGGAGGACTATGCCCTGACGAAGAAGGGCATTTGGAGAGTCAAGGGTGCCACTGCGCCCACGCCCAGCCCATTCTTTGTACACGTCAACTATCCCAAGTTCAACCCGGCCACAATCTTCGCGGAGAACGGCGTGACTAACCCGGTGATTGATGAGAGAGGACAGTATACGCTGGCATGGACGGCGCCCGAAGAGGTGGTCGCCTCTTTCGGCGCCAACGTTCAGCAAAGGTTCTGGGAAAATATCCATTGGACGGCCTGCGTGCTGGAGGGCAAGATCCTAAGCTGGAAGGGCAAGACGGGGATCTGCCAGCAGACGAGGGACTACTGGAATAGTGTTTTTGGAAATTCGGCTGGTAAGATGATGAATCAGTCATAAGCGAGTCACGTAAAATTAGATTCGATTGATAGCCCCTGTGCTGGTCGCATGTGCTATAGCCCTTATGGGAGTGAGCGATATCTTATCTAGCGTTGCTGGAGACATTCGGTTTGCGAGGAACATCATACAAGTTCCCTGTCAGCAGGTACTCGGTTGGAATAAAGGACTCATCACGGAAGATATCTCGGGAGGACTGGCTATCCGTCATATTTGTTGCAGACAATCATTCCACAGCCCTCGTCTGCTCCAGCATACGAACGGTTAGAGAAAGGCTGGGATCAGAACAGGGGCCTTGGGTTGTTCGACCATGTCGAGAGCCTGTCTTTTGGTGTTTCCGCTGAACGTGATCCGAAACAAGCAGGATAATACTAGGTAGGCGCTGTAGACCACTTGGAATTCAACGGTGATCGTGGATTAAAACAACAATCAGGGGAAAACCTCTGCTCAGTCAAGCATGATTCATGAATATGCTATATTCGAATATAATTCGCCCCCCCAGGACTACTCGTAAATTTGTGAAGATTGGAAAAAAAAAAAAAAAAAAAAAAGAGAAAAGAAAACGAAAGAGAAGAAGAACCATCAGTCTCCGTTATAACTGCAGCTCAGAATAAGGCTTTGGAGAGCGTCCGGGTTTGATGGTGATGTTGTCGATGCTGAGGAGGCTCCTGGTTCCCAACCGCGGCGAGACATGAGCGTATTGGGAGCCTGCAGTGGCTGTCAGGCAAGGTTCAGGTTCCGATCGTCTATCCCTTGCTCACATGTGAGTTTGCATCGGTTTGACTAACTAGTTAACGTGACCAACTAGTGAACTACGTCTCGAGATGACAAATGCATCTCGTGCCTTCGGGGATTTTGTGCTTGTTGTGAGCCGTTATATACCATGAGAGAAATATCTTATCGGCTGTGGTGAATACTTCATTTGCTCGTAGAGTGATGGACCTGGTGGTCTACATCCGAGCTTTCAGAAGTATACAATCCCAGCCTCCGAGCCGTGCAAGGCAAGTGACAGGGCTGCTTTTTTGTGCCCTTTCTTTCGCAGGGGCTTCATATGGACGCACGCAAGACCCAAGTTAGAAAGCCAAGTGAATCAAGTTGGGTACAGTCCTGCCTGCTACAGTGCTGCCTGAGGTGCAGTACGTAGGTAGTGAGCTACCGCCTTTAGCTATTCCTCCCCTAATGGCGATGCACCTCTAAGCGAGAAAGCTTCTTGTCGGCAGTATTTCGCTAGCTTCGTGCCCGTCCCTAGAGCCTAGGTAGTGGTCAGTCTTATCCACCCTGCCCTGCCCCTTCTAAGCGACGGAACATGAAGTTGGCAATTATGGCTCAAGTGCATGCATTTGTGATCGAGCACTACTTATGCTTACATCTCCGCAGTGAAAGGTGGGAAAATCTATCATTCTGGGGGCAAAAGCTATAATTATCTCTTCTCGATGAGTCCTCCGTAGAAGAACGACGATCCCCAAGACCAAAAACCAGGTGGCTCCGGGGACTATTGATCGTGGTGTGTATTGTGTTTGTGACTATTTCTGTTTCTATTTTTATGTTGTATGTTATAGGTTTCTTGTCTTGAAAGCATGAACGAGGAAAAGAAGACAACATGCATGCTGTCTGGACACCCCTCCCTCTTTGTGGATACTTCAGAGGTCCGTTGCCAAGATGATGAACATGCCCTGAGCGCGGGCTGCAGAGAGGGGGGGGGGGGGTTCACTATGATAAGTACTCCGTACAGTTCTCCATACCGGTAACTAAGCCCTGGGCAAGGAGTCAAGATACGTGACTCGTAGCCCATGCGGGGTGAGATTCCACCGACTCGAGCGAACGTCCTGATGAAGTTGTGCTGTTTGTTGAAGGCATCGGCATGGGGTGACCACCTGCTCCGTGCGCTAGGCTTCAGGCACTGCAGAAAATGTGTTTGGGCCTGGCGATGGCGGGATGGAGGGATTGGATAGGAGAAGAGGGGATGACTCGGCGATGAAACCCGAGCGGACCGGTAACTGCCAGATCATGGCGTGCAGACACTATTGAGCACCAAACGGGGCAGATCTTGTCGTGAACAGCAAGGGCGAGAGGGGGTCACTCGTTTACAACTCACGGTTTAGACTACCAGAAGCGAAAACCAACTTCCGCCGGAGTACACCGAACTACTTAGTCTAGTACACATGGACATAGTACCGACCGAGTGGATCAGAATGCGAGCATGGGCTTGCAAGTTCAGGTTTGCAGCCAAAGTTTTGATACGGTGTGTGTGATTGGCAGTGGAGCAGCAACGGGCCAAGGCACACACGATACGATGACTTGAATAATCATCAGAGGCATGCATGAATCGGGGGACAGGTTCAGGTTCAGGTTCAGGTTGGTGACGGTGTCTCCCCCTATTGACATTGACCCGAACGAGGATCAGAAAAAGAAAATTTCCCCGGTGGTCAGTGGTCAGTGGCTAACAATCGATGCCTATCCCTGCTGCTTGCTTACTAGGATGCAGTCAGTATCTCGTTAGTGCCGGCGACGGACAAGTTCTCGACCCCCCCCTTCGGATGACTGATCCATTCTGATCCATTCTGATTCATTCTGATCCATTCTGATCCATGGGTGACTTGCCCCGACGGGTAAGGTGCGGGTGTGCCTGGCACTCTCTGGTGGCTGAGTTGACCTGCACCAATGGGAAACCACTGGTGGAGTGCACGGATCATCTGCACGCCCCGTCCATCCTCTCTCTTTCCCCCGTTTTGACCAAATCTGGTTTAGCTCACGTGGTACAGCAGGGAAAAACTCAGGTAAGGT